GAGGGAGGCCAGGCTAGCTGCTGCTAGGGCCGGGGGCCTTTTCGGTGGCGGCCCCTACCTGGTGGAACGAGCTCCCGGAGGAGATCAGGGCCCTGCAGGTTCTCTCACAGTTCCGCAGGGCCTGCAAGATGGAGCTCTTCCACCAGGCATACAATTAGGGGCCACCGCTCTAGTGTATGGCCCGTAATGTTTTTTTTTTAACATTTTATTTTCAGTTTCACAAACATTAAAATAAATCAAACATTCCTTTTATAACTCATACTTTCCCAAAAATAAAGTTCATCTTCCTGTTTTAACAATTAATATTTTAAACTAGCATTTTCCATTCTTACTATAACTTCTTCATTTTCAGCCGATCTTATATTCTATCCCTTCTCGTCCACAATTCTTACTCTGACTTATTTTATAATATTAATGTCAATTTACACAAACATTCAAATAACTCAAACGAATCCTTTTAGAATTCATACTTTTCCAAAAGCAAGTTTCATCTTTCTAGTTTAACAATTAGTATTTTTAGCTATCATTTTCCATTCCTACTATAACTTCTTCATCTTCAGCCAGTCATATATTATATCCCATCTTTTAGTTTGTCCGGGATCATATTGAGCAACCATATTTCTGGTATTAGGGGAATATTGATTTTTAGAATCTCTAAAAATATTTTCGCAATTTTTTTCCAAAATTTCTGAATTCTATCACATCTCCACCAAATGTGGAGGTACGTTCCTACATTTTTTCCACATCTCCAGCATAGGTTGGATGACTTTGGAAAGCACTTTGCTATTTTAGCAGGTGTCCAATGCCACCTATAGAACATTTTATATGTGTTCTCCTTATACGGGATAGCTCTCATAAATTTTAATGAATTCCAGGTTTTAGTCCCTTGTTCGGCCTCTATTGGATGCCCAATCTCTTTTATCCAAGCTAACAATAATGGTTTTATAATTTCTTCTTGTAAATAATCCTCGCTGGAGGATAACCAGATTTTATCAAGTTCGTTTAAACTAATGTGGAATCCTATTTTTTAATCTTCGTTATACCTTGCCTTTAATACATTTTTTCCCCACCAGGATAGCTTTATATTATGTTGCAATAACTCCTCCTCCTTTTTCAATTCAGCTTGTTTATTTAGTAGTTTACCGTAAGTTTCATTGATTTTCCCTTTTTTGAGTGAAGGTTTAGCAAATGCCTCTATCGGGGATATCCATAGTGGTATTTTAGTGTACTTTTTATATTTAATTAAATTCCACACTTTAATGAGAGAGCTTCTGATTATATGAGTGTGGAAATTAGAGTGTATTTTATCTTTCCCGTACCATAGGTACGCGTGCCATCCCATTGCTAAATCTGATCCTTCTAACGCTAATGTTCTTAGATCTTCTAGCACTGCCCACTCTTTAACCCATACCATTGAAGCTGCAAAATAGTACAATTGCCAATTAGGCAAAGCAAAACCTCCTCTCTTTTTGCTGTCCTGAAGATATTTAGTTTTTATTCTCGGTTTTTTAGATTGCCAAATGAAATTATTTATAATTTTCTCCCAGTCTTTAAAATATTTATAATTTTTGAGTATTGGTAAATTCTGTGCCAAAAAGAGGAATCTTGGCAAAATATTCATTTTAACAGTTGCAATCCTACCCATTAAAGAAAGATGTATTTTCTCCCAGCGTTTTAGATCTCCTTTTATATCTTTTAGAAGTTGTAGGTAGTTATCTTCATATAACGTTGATGGGTTATTTGAAATCCATATTCTTAAATACTTTGCTTTTCCCACAATTTCCATTATTGATATCTCTTTTATCCTTTGTATCATCTCCTGTGAACAATTTTTTGCTACAATTTTAGTCTTGTGCACATTTATTCTAAAGCCTGCCAAATTCCCATATTCCTGAATCTCTTCTAATAAGTGCT